TCTCAATCCGCTTGGTTTTCTTTTACAAGGAAGAACCCTTTCCACTTGAGGAGGATGCTCTTATCACCTCCTCAAGTGGTAATCCCCACAGGAAGAGCTTTTACCCAAAGAAAAAAACAAACAAAAGAAACCTTTCCGGTTTGGTTGTGGGAGTGGGGCCCTCCACCTTGGCAGAGCTTCATGCCAGATTGGGGCCTTCTTCAGGGCACCACTTGGATATCTATAATTAGGTAGTTTTGTCGACGCCTAACTCAGCCTATGATTATGATTGATTGACAGAAACCTACTTTTGCAGTATGCACTGCCAAGATTATTACTCATGTGGCACAAAGATCTACCTTGGACATGAAATTCTACCCTGCCAATGGATTATCTTATCACCATGTTCATTGATATACTAGGTTACCGCAGATACTGGAGGATGGGGAGCATCACGTGGTGGGAACCAGGCCCAGCGTCCCATAGCTAGAGCGCAGGAACATTCCAAGTTGGTCCTTTCCATCATTCATCTGGAGCCACTGGGCTCCAGCCAAGGCTAGACCAGCACGAACCTGACCTCCTTCTAGACCAGATTGGTACTCCAGTCCATGTTACTCCCTGTCGGGGTCTGGGCCTTTGATGTTGTCAGGTCTGGCCCAACCTGGCCACAACTGTGCTGCTAGGAGAGCAGCGCGCTCTGCGTTTGTGGCTACCCTGGTAGACAGAATCGCAGCCAGCGATCTTGCTACCCTGGTAGAGAGCATCACATTCTTTAACGGAACGCATTGCATGCTTGGCAAGGAGAGAAAGACAGAAGTAGGCATATCCGCCTTGCTCCACTACTCACCAAATGTGTTAAATGGTCGTGTATGTTTGCGTAGAAGGTGGAGAGAGACACTCACAACCTTTTTTTTTGTCCTTTCCGTGGTGAAGCGAGTGAGGCCTTATATCTCCGTGACACCAACACATTGATAAAACGCCATTCCGCAAGACCACTATCTGGGGGCTGGTGAGACAACCGCCAGGACTGAGGCTTTGCGCAGAGAGATGGCTCCATTCTATTGGTGGGGAGCTGCACCTACAGCAAACCGGGTCCAGCATCCTGCGCAACAACACGAGTTCAAGCATCAGCTCATGCACTACTCATGCACTGCTCACTCTGAAGAGGAGCTTCTGTAGCTTGAAATTATTACAGACATTGTC